TTCCTCCCTTTATCCCGAGGTAAGATACTTACTTTTCAGATAAAGCATATTATGATAAATCGGCTGAACTCTGTGCGTGTGTGTGTGAGAGAGAGAGAGTGTGTGTATCTGCCTCACACGCTCACTCGTGCACTATAAACACACAGCGTGCACACAGACACACAAATATAAACAGTTTATTGAACAACATATCAGAGGAGCAGCACAGCTGTGAAATGTGTGTGTGTGTGTGTGTGTGTGTGTGTGTGTGTGTGTGTGTGTGTGTGTGTGTGTGTGTGTGTGTGTGTGTGTGTGTGTGTGTGTGTGTGTGTGTGTTCTGGGCCTTTAATGAGATACAGGTATTGGCTCTCAGCAGGAGCATGCTGGGAAAATGTCTGTTCTCCAAACAAACTAGAAATATATTAAAAATAAGAAACAAAATTTTCTGTCTTAACTGCAGATCATTTCATTAGTAAAACGTATCAGAAAACCTTTCAAACTTCATTTACTTTCAGTTCCAAATCCTTTTCTAGTTTTGATTGGTGGGAGTGATTGTTCAGTAAAACATCCTGATGGAAGCTCACACTGATAAGACGCGCTCACTAAATGGATAAGGAAGATTTTTTTGTCTGTAATTGCCTGGAACAAATGAGTTCTGCATTCAATAAAGTTGGTTTGCTAATGAAATGGGATGAGAAATAGAGGAGCATATGGGCTGACGCTCTGCCACGATGTGGGATGAAAGCTGGAGGTCAGAAAAGAGAACAAATGAGTTTGGAGAAGATGAAAAGTAAATGAAAACACAATGGCAGGCCTTTGGGACGCATATGCGTGCCTGTTGCAAATGGAATGTTTACAAAACCCTTTGTGTGTGCGCGTGTGTGTATGTGTGTGTGTGTGTGTGTGTGTGTGTGTGTGTGTGTGTGTGTGTGTGTGTGTGTGTGTGTATGAGAGTCCGTCTGTGTAGCAATATAGATTAGATGCCCGATAAGCCTCTTATGCTTGTCCTTAATTTGCTTCAGCTCTGGGTCCTAGTGCATCCGAACCAGCAGTAATTTCCTCCCAAACAACCCAGAAACACTTGTCCTGCACGATCAACCTGAAATACTTCGACTTGAACAAACACCAAATCACTGATCTAAGACCTGAGCCAAGAACACAAGATTAAAGTTTGTGAGGTAAAGAAAAAAACACGAGGAAGCAGAATAAATTACTATGTATGCCTTTTTTGTTGCTCAATAAATGTTTAAAGAAAAACACAAGAGGATTGAATGTTAAGTTTGAAGGTTTTCCTATTACAATCCAAATTTTAACTCATGTAACATGGCTTATTACGACCAATGAAACTAAACAAAAACAAAAACAAGGAGAATGTGTCCAGATTAAAATGAAAATGTGACGGAAAAGTCAAAAGAAGAATAAAATAAGCAACCATCACTGAGCCATTGAACATATGTTTTCTCTCTGAGCATAAGGGTGTCTTTGTACTGAGTAAACTGTGTTTGTTTTACAAGGAAACGTCTTTTCTCTACTTATTTAGCAGCATCCACAGTGGAAGTTATCTGTCAACCCTTCAAAATAAGAGTCTCAAACATTCACATGATGCTATAAAAAAGGAGTTTTTCCAGAGAAATAAATATTAGTAAATTCATGTCATTTGGTGTTTTGAGTTCCATGGTGGCCGGTGTGTCGCAGCAAAAAGAGCATTTTGAGAATTTTCTGGGAAGATATAATTGTATGTTTTTCCTGACATTTGCTCTTTATTCTTGAAGTTTGCCACTCTTTTTGGAAAATAATTCTTTCTCTTGACATGACCCATCCTTCTCTTTGTCAGTGGGCCCGATACACTCACAAATAAAACCCAATAGGAATAACAACCAAACACCATTCAGAAGCCTCCTCCCGTTTAAATCACCAAACAATCGTTTTATGAGTTCTTTTACTTGCTTTAGCTAAACGGTTCGTTGTGTTTATCAAGCTAGCACACCCCCATTGCTAAATAAATGACAGTTTGTCGTTGAAAGTGTTCGTTTTGTCTTAAAAGTAAAACACAATCAATCATTAGCCGAGGCTTGTGTTGGGCCTTCTACTAAGCTAGCAGAGGAGTGCCGGAAGCGGGCCGCGCGCGCTCAGCTGATCCTCCCGGTTCCGGTTTTTAACGTTGATGTCGTTAGGTTTGCTAGCTGTCCTCCTACCGACTCAAGCTCCTAAAACGAAACAAACAAAGCACAACTAAAGCCGGTGTTGTGCCATAAATCGACTCGCTGCCAAAAAATGATTAGCCACTAAAGAAAGGGGGAAAAATCAAATCGCTGGAGAATTGTTTATTTACATTTATACAACGTTTACATTCAATACAGGGCGCCATTTTACATTGTTTATTTTTTAGTATCAAGGCTGTAACATAAAGAAAGCCAGTTCTTACCATAAACCATCTTTCAATCGCAAATATTGCAAAAAGGATTAATATATCCTCATTGTGAACGTTTAAGACAAATAGCAACACTTAAAACAACTTCTGAACTGGGAAAAACTAAGCTAATCATTTTTTGGCAGCGAGTCGATTTATGGCACAACACCGGCGTGTCCACGCGCCAGGCCGCCTCAATTACCTTTTAGAATGAGGCTAAACAAACGTACAAACGTTTAAAATGAAATTTTAAACAACAACAACAAAATATTATTATTATAGTTATTATTATTATTGTTGTTGTCATTATTATTATTATTATTATTATTATTATTATTATTATTATTAGTAGTAGTAGTAGTATTGTTATTATTGTTATTATTATTATTATTATTATTATTATTATTATTATTATTATTATTATTATTATTATTATTAATGATGGATACCGGGGGCATGCTGCGGATCAGAAGCGGATTGAACACCAGAACAACGAGGTCTTTGTGTTAGTTTTAATCCGGTCCGTACCCACTTCTCTCCACTCAGCCTAATTATTTCAGGAGGCCAATTTGGAATAAAGCTCTGAACAATAAAGGAGTCCTTATGGTCAGAACTCAAAGCGCCTTTTGTACATTTTAAAATCATTATTCGATCCATGTTAAATAAAAAATGATTTTTTTGTGGATTTTAAAATAAAATTTGCATCAACACGTGCAAGGGCGTCAGTTTGTTTCCAGAATTGCTGGGGACAATAACCATACACTTGAGTGGGGTTTAAAAATTGCTGGGGACAATAAAGTAGGCTAGCAAAGGGGTCGGCGGCTCTGGAGCCGCATGCGGCTCTTCCATCCATCTGATGCGCTCTCTGTGCTCTTAAAATAATGAATGGATGTTTAAATAAAATGCTTTATATGTTACTGCATTAATTTTACATCTGTATGCCAATTCTAAATGTAAAAATTGTCTGCGTAAACCTGAACAGGTCCAACCCGGTCTTACTGTGAGACCGGGTTGACGCGTCACGCTTGTGCGTAATCATATCGGCGCTTCTGAGCTGGAGGATGTCAGATTCTGGGCTTCTCCTCAGACAGGTTCCTGGATGCGTCGCCACATTGGAGACAGGAACAAGCACTATTCAGCCAAAGTTTCATAATCAGGTGTGGCAGTGTGAGTGTCCTGTCACAGTGTCCCGATAGATAATGCGCCCTGGCTACTTGGCCAAGGGGATGTCCCTTTGGCTGACTGGTTAGAGGGTATGACTCTCACCCGGGAGTCTGGGGATCAAATCACGCCCGGGCCCTCGTTTTTCCACCTTGCCACATATTGACGGATAAATGCGATAAGATTTCCTCCCACTGAAGCGTTCTGGAAACCCGGTCTCTCTGAGGGATGTGTCACTTGGAAAAATGTTCTTTTTATGAAATTATGAAACTTTGGCTGAACAGCGCTTGTTCCCGTCTCTAATATGGAGACGCATGACGCGTAGAGACATTTGATCACGCACAAAGTTTATGTGGAGCAGAAGCGGTCGGGCCACGGCAGGTGGAATGTTCCTAGCCTACATGAAGTCAAACTGTTTAATTGTAACATTAATATGTTACTGGACACACTGGTCTGGTTGGTTAGACCAGTGTTTGAAGTGGAAAACACACACACACACACACACACACACACACCAATTAAAATAATGCTGATAGCGTGGACTAGAAGCCAGGTGATAGTTTACGTATTTAAATGATGATCAGGCTGCTGTAAAATGTAATCTCCATCCACATCCAGACAGAATCATCCTCTATTCTTTCTCTATTTGCTCTGTTCTTGTCTGGGCTGATCAGCTGATGGCGCGCCTAACTAGCGGCTGATGCACATTTTACGCATTTGGAGAGGTGGACTGGATGCTTTGCGTTTACTGGAAGATGGTCCACTTAACGCACGGGTGTAGACTAAATATTAATGACAAATGAATGAAAATTAAATTGTGAGTTTTTACTTCATATTTTAGAAATAAAAATGACGGGGGAACACATTTATGACGTCTTTTTAAACTAAGTTTTCTAGCGCGACCTGCCTGCTTCACTTAAGTCACTGCTTATTAAGGTCCGTCCAGAATTACTGTGGGAAACGGGTAATAATGGCTCTTTGATGGGAATAGGTTGCCAACCCCTGGTATAAGATATGAGCTGGTAAAACAAAAATCCTCATCGGCAGGCATTTTTGAAAGTGGGGGGGACACAGCTTCCAATCACAAATTTTGCCGGGGACATGTCCCCGGTGTCCCCGGTTAAAATGACGCCTATGAACACGTGCGTTGTAGCGATCTGCACGAATTACTAAGCGAGTTATGGCAACAATGATCAATTTGAAGGGAATAATTAAATAAGTGTGCAGCGCCGTGAGAGCTGACAGGAGGGAGGGAGGGAGAGAGAGAGAGAGAGAGAGAGAGAGAGAGAGAGAGAGAGAGAGAGAGAGAGAGAGAGAGAGAGAGAGAGAGAGAGAGAGAGAGAGAGAGAGAGAGAGAGAGAGAGAGAGAGAGAGAGAGAGAGAGAGAGAGAGAGAGAGAGAGAGAGAGAGGAGGGTTCTGCGCGTGGACTTGGGTAAGAAGTTTCTAATTAGCCAGCCTCTTCTCACTTGCCTCACTTGTCTACTCTGCAGATCCATTCTCCTCCTCTCTGGTACCGCCATGGTCCCCGGACTCCGTCCCGCCATCAGAGCGCGCAGCACGACGTAGGCGCAACAGCGAGTGCGCACTGCTGATACGCACGAGTTTGGTGAAGAAACAGCGGTTTTCGCGCTGGCCTAGTTTAGTCATCTTCTGGTCATTTGATTTTAACGTCTTCGTTTATAGTGTTGAGTTTTTGTCTTTTAATCAAAACTGAAGAAACAGACCCAGTTTGCGTTTTATGCGTCAGGTGAGGAGGACAGGTGCAAAGGCGCAGCGCTGCTTCTGTAGCCGCCACAACAACGACTGCTTTGCGTTGCGGAACAAAGGAAGGAAAGCAGAAAGCAACTCCGTGGAACATCAAAACAACATCAAAACAGTCAGGATAAAGAAAAAAAAACAGACAGAGGGGGGGAAACAAGAGCGAGAGGGTGGGAGGGAGGGAGAGTAGTTAGAAGAGACGGCCCCGGCCCAGGAGACGGAGAGAGAGAGTGTGTGTGAGGGAGTGTTTTAAAGCCGGCAGGAGGCATGATGTCCTACATAAAGCAACCCCATTACGCGGTGAACGGGTTAACGCTGTCCGGCCCGGGCATGGATCTGCTCCACTCCGCCGCCGTGGGATACCCCAGTAAGTACCAGCCTGTTCATTTCAACCTCCTGCTCTGTTTTATCCTGTTGCGTTACAAAACTTAACAAGGAACGCAAAAGACGGATTTTTACTGAGTCAGCTAAAACCATGTTTAACGATCTGATTCCTCCGCCATCAGAACACGAGCTCAGCTGGCCTGAACGTTTGGAGGATTAACGAGTCAGAATAAAAACATGAATGAATAAATAAACCCAAAACAATGCAAATGTCTGTGAAAGGAGAAGCGGCCTGTTCTCACAGAGAATTACACAAACCTCCAATCTGTTTCAGTTGTCCTCTAACCTATTTATGAGGCCAGACACGCGTTAGCGTTTATTCAGCAGTAAACCCCTTCAGTGTTGGATGTTAGAAAGCATCTGTCACCTTGACTCCGGCCTGCGGGGACACGGAAAGAGTCTCCAGGAAAGGTGAACATCAAAAAGTTTGGTTCGATTCGTTCTTTTGTATTCAGACGTTCCAAATTACAGAAAAGAAATTCGTAGATAAACGGATTCGATAATAAATACAAATCCGGCTCGAGTCAATAAGTCGTTTCTTTTATAATAATAATAATAATAATAATAATAATAATAATAATTATTATTATTATCTGATTGTTTTTACAATAATTAATTTGCTTATTTGGCAACAAATTCCGTGCTGTACATAAAATTTGGTCATTTGACAATTAAAAATGAACAATCTAGCCAATCTAAAATCTACATATAAATATAAAGTAAATACATTCTCGCTACCATCGATAAAACAAACGTGACGTTTTTGTGCTCATCACGCGCCTGTAGCGCAATTTGCTGACAGAATGAAGAGAAATTAAATAAAGACTGTACAAAAAATGATAATAACAATAATAATAATGATAAAGGTGTTTTTTTAGGCACTCCACGTAAACAGCGTCGGGAGCGCACCACCTTTACGCGCGCGCAGCTGGACATCCTGGAGGCTCTGTTTGCCAAAACTCGTTATCCAGACATCTTCATGAGGGAGGAGGTGGCCCTGAAGATCAACCTGCCTGAGTCCAGAGTGCAGGTAACACGTTTTTAACAACACATAGAAACGTTTCTTTGTATTTTTGGTTTAACTTCACCAGTACCGTGCATGGTGCACTGTCATCTGCCTCTTTGACCCACTTTGTCTCCTACAAGGTCTGGTTCAAGAACCGCCGTGCCAAGTGCCGCCAGCAACAGCAGCAGAGCACAGGCCAGTCCAAACCACGGCCCCCTAAGAAGAAGACGTCCCCTGCCCGGGAGACTAACACTGAGGCCAGTGCCAATCCCACCAATGGGTCCTACAGCCCTCCACCCCCTCCTCCAGGCACTGCCATCACTCCCAACTCCAGCTCTGCTAGTGCCACTGTATCCATCTGGAGCCCAGCCTCCATCTCTCCGCTGCCAGACCCCCTGTCTGCCTCCACCACCCCCTGCATGCAGCGCACCACCACCTACCCCATGACCTACACCCAAGCTCCAGCCTACAGCCAAAGCTACGCTGGCTCCTCCTCCTACTTCACAGGCCTGGACTGTAGCTCCTACCTGTCTCCAATGCACCCACAGCTGTCAGGCACTGGCGGGGCCCTGAGCCCCATCACAGCCTCCTCGATGGGAGGGCCCCTCAGCCAGTCCCCGGCTTCGCTCTCCTCCCAGGGCTACACTGCAGCCTCACTGGGCTTCGGCGCTGTCGACTGTCTAGACTACAAAGACCAAGCTGCCTGGAAGCTCAATTTCAATGCTGCTGACTGTCTGGACTACAAGGACCAGAACTCCTGGAAGTTCCAGGTCTTGTAAATATTACCAAGCGGGAGGAGGGAAGGAAGGGTGGGAGGAAGTTTGGAGAAGGAAAATGAAATAACTTAAAATGGCCTCATACTACTAATGGTGTTTTAATAGAAATAAGAGGACTTGGAACACAGAAATGTACCAATCACATCAGCCATAAAGTAAGCTGAAATAATCCCTCCACTTTTGTTGTTTCAAAAAACGACTGGAAGTTGAATGAAGTGTTGATGCTGTGCTGTTTGATTGTTATAAAGAAAAGAAGACATGAAAGACAATGAACAATGTTTAGATAGGAAGACAGAAGGGTTTACATGTCCTGCTCCAGACCTCAACATGTACGGTTAAAATGCTAAACAGGAAGTAGCTTGACTGAGTGATGATGCCAGTTTGATTTAAAATCAGTTTCCTTGCTTCGTCCCGGTGAAGCAGTCCTGTTTGTAAAGCACGGTAGTGGAAGTATCCTCATATGGTTTATTGGCTTGCCCGACATCACTGCAGACAAGGCTTCTGTGGTGTCTCCCCTCTAGATGCCCTCTGGGCTTCTTTTACAAAGCTGCTGTTTCTTCAGTGACTCAAAAACGTTTTAAGGAAAACCACACAAGCTGGTGGATGTCAGGAGGTGATGACGCAACACCTGCTGGTTGAGTCCAGAGTGATTCTGATGGTCCAGCCTTGGTTCTGACCCTCTTCAGACTGGGGGGTGCAAGCCGAGAGGTCACTTATGGGTGACCGCAGTGCAAACCTGTTGCCTTTGAGCATGGTTGTAGTCATTAGCACACTGGCTCGTAGTTCCTTTGTCTAGTATGGACCCCCCCCCCCCCCCCCCCCAACACACACACACACACACACACACAAAGGACGGTAGCAACAGTCATTATGGCTCTGCCCGTCCTACCTCCACCTCCTATGGGCTTGAGAGACGACTGCACCAGAGAAAGGGAAGGGACGGTGCTGCCATGCAGCCCCACCCCCCCACCCCCTTTGCACAGTGTGTTTGTGCCTCTCAGCCTCACCCCGTAAAGATTTTTTGTGTTAGATGTCTTCTTTGATTATCTTTTTGTAATAGATCGTGTCTCTTTATAAAATTGTGACTGAGTCTAAAACCTGGTGGTGATTTGTTTTAGGTCGATGTTAACAGTATTAATATCATTACCTGCTTGTCTTCAGCTGACATGGACATCACTGAAGGACGTCTTTGATGCTGTTTTGTAAATATTAAAACTTGAAAAATGCAATCATGTCTGTTAGCAGCAGTGTGTTGTTGTGCAGGCACGTCACCCAGAGAACTGCCAACTGTTTATATTTCTCTCATCTTTACCTTTTCTTCCTTTGAAACTCAGGGGTTAATCCACTAATGGTTGCAGTGATGGGACGCGATGCATTCAACGCCTCTGGAACATTTACTGTACTTTTGACATTAGTCATGTCTGCTTGGTTCTCTCACATGGATTCTTTTAAATTGTTTGTCTCCAGCGTTTGACCAGCCTCACTAAGATAGATAGCTATGGTGTTTTTTGGGGGGATATTAAAAGATTTCATGAAAATTTTTGAGTTCCTGAATATATTTGGCTTTTTTATTTGAATTTTTTTAGCAAATATTTGAATAATCAGCAGCCTCGCCGCTATCGGTGCGCCCCAGGGCAGCTGTGGCTACGTTGTAGCTCATCCCCACCAGCGTGTGAATGGGTGAATGACTGATTGTGTTCTGAAGAGCCTTGGGGCATTGCAGAACCCTAAGAAGGTGCTACACAAGCACGGGCCATTTACCAATAAATGTCAAGCCATTAGTCAGGTAATGCCAATGTCTATGATGTCAGTGGACACGCAAGGGTCGTCTCCACTATCGGAACATCAGGGTAATGTTATCAGAACCTGGCAGCATGAGCGTGTCTCCATTTTAGCAGGCCAGACCAATGGATCAAACAAAGCGACCATCTATACAACCAACAGATCACACTCGTACATAAGACTCCGAGGTCTCTGGTGTGAGATTTCTGTTCTGATGGATCGCAGCCTCTTACCAGAGGGAAGAGTTTCAAACAGGATGTGTCCAGGTCAGAGGGGGAAGGGTCAGCCACAATCTTTCTTGACTGTCTTTTGGTTCTGGAGGTGTTTAGGTTCTGTGGGAGGGGCAGGTTGCAACCAATCACCTTTTCTTCAGAGTGGAAGGCGTGTTGAAGCCTCTAAGTCCTTGATAGTGGCAGCAGCTACCGGACAGAGATGGATGAGGAGAGAATAGGCTCATTGAAGGCCATGCAGAAAAGCATTTGGAACAAATTGATTCCACTGCCAGGTTGGACTTGCACAGCTGCCTCAGAATAAACAAACTTTGCTGAGATTTTTTGATGAGGGAGATAATGTCGAGCTCTCCACCTGAGGTCACGAGAGATGATAACTCCCAGGAAGTGGGAGGAATCCACAGAATCCACTGGCTTGTCTCTGAGGAAATATATATTATTATTGAAGCCAGAGAAAATCCACACAAGCACAGGAAGAAAATACAAGCTTGCCTTGTCAACAAGAGATTTGTGAGCTGCATTTTACCGAGATGATCAACCAAACTTTGGTAGGACAGGTTGTGTGTGGATGGATGGATGGATGGATGGATGGATGGGATGCGTCCCGGTAATCCACAGGAGTAGCATATGGACAGTGAAGCAGAGAGACAGCGACTCGGACTTAGGAATATGATTCATTTCTTTCGTCTCTTTAATCCCTAACAAACAAGCTGGTGCTTGTCCTACTCTGGAGGCGCTCCGTAATCATGCCACAGGCTGCTGCTGCCATCAACCCACCACCCCTCCCCCCGTCTGCAGTCCAGTTTCCTTCTAATCGATTCCTAATCCCAGCACTACCAAGCTCACATGCGCCAAGCATATGACCACACACACACACACACACACACACACACACACACACACACACACACACACACACACACACACACACACGCACACACACACACACACACACACACACACAGTTGAGTCTCTAAACTAGTTTCCAGGACTGTCCTCATCCACTAGAAAAGTTAGTTATAATGATTTGAAGTAGTCAGAGTTTAACATTGCTCTAACACAGGGGAGTCAAACTCAAACTCACACGGGGCCGAAATGAAACTCTGGGACGGAGTCGAGGGCCAAACTTAATATTTTTGAAAAAGTGACGGCAAATGTGCACATTTTCTCTATCAACATGTATGCAATTTTGAACCTTTAAATGTGGAAACAAACATATTTCTGCATTAAAACTGAATGTGGAATAACCAAATTATACACGAGCAAGTCAGTTTTAAATAAAACACATCAGTGGTATTCATTACTTGTGGTATAATCAGTATTTTTAAAATCTATTCAGGATTTATGTTTTCTTGTTTATTCATTTTTCTTATTTTTATTCTCCTTTTTTCTCCTGTAATACGTGTCATCGCTGCTGTGACGTCTAGCTTTCCCCACTGAGGAACAATAAAGGGATTTTCTATTCTATTCATCTATCTGCAGCCTTTCCACTTCCTGTTTACTGTAGGTTAAATATTTTCTCACGGGCCAACAACAAAATAAAAATATCATTTTATCTTAAATGAAAATGAAACATCTCCCCTGTTAACTTTCATGTTTTGGAGCAGAAAAAGAGCATCAAACCAACATATTTAAAGCTCAGTTTGCTCCACTGGTTTACTGTGATGCTCACCTGTTCCAGCCAGATACCTGCATCATGGGGTTGATCTGAGCTGAGGAGGAGACTCCTGTTGTTTTGTTCATCTTCATCATAATAATGACAACATTAGATGACAACAGGTGCTCACATAGGTTTGTGCTGATGAACATGTCTGAGCAGCTTGACCGCGTTGTTGTGTGTCGGGGAGGAAACACGACTGCAACCACAGAGCCGTGCTGGTTTGAGCGTGTCGCTGCTCGCTGGAGTTATATCAGCTCTGTCTGGATGTTAATTGGAAAACTTTCTCTTTCAGTCGTGAACACATTACTGAGCGGCTAGAATCTCCGTTTCTGGGCTTCAACGTCAGAAAACAGCTGAGTGAACTCGGCGCTGAGTGAGAGGAGTGTTTAGTTTGTCCGAGACAGCGGAGCTGCAGACACCGGCAGCAGGCGCTGAAAAAACACAAAGGAGGGGGCTTCGTCAGCTCCGTGCTGATGCCGCAAAGCATCATGGGAATTGAAGTCTTTGCGGTAAAATCGGCCAGCGGGCCAGTTTTAATATATTTTTGATATTTATCTCGCAGGCCACATAAAAATGCTCCGCGGGCCAGACTCTGACATATGTGCCCTAACACTAGCCTGAATCTCTTCTTGAGATCTGGATAAAAAACTAGCGGTGATGAGACCAGGGGGTCTTTCTTGATGCCAAGGAACCTCGCCTTGATGTCTTGGTCCCACCCCGGTTGCCTAGGAGGAGACACGTCATCAGGAACCGCCATGACATGTTCCCATGTTCATGTTCCACGAGGCCTCTGTTCTCCTTTGTTAGCCATTTAGCTAGCTGAGTGAGGATACATGGGAGGTGTTTTGTAGCCTAGCCTTGATCAAAAATGTCGCACAGCGGTATTTTCAAAAGGATGGCGGATCGGGAGCCGGCAGCTACTTTGGGGGCAAATTTTAAGTTTAAATGTAAGTCAGCTAATTTTAGCTATCGGGCTGATATCTAAAATGTCTTTTTTTATATCCGAAGAAGTTATCTATGTTGGTTAGTTGCTCAAGTCGCAGCATTCGGGGGCTAGCGGATAGTAACTTGCTTACATATTTAATTAAACAAACATGTACACAATTTAAAAAGTAAAAGCCTCGTTATTTATTTATATAGAAACTTATGTGTATAAAATATAACGTTATCTCCCGTGTCACGTGACCTTAGGTTACCGCTGCGGAAGCCAAATCTGTTCCATTTAACTGTTTTCTTTGACCAACCGACAGGGTCCTCTAGAAGTTTTTACTTACTGCTTTAAGCCGCTGAAGTTGGTTTGTTTAATACTAGAATTAACACGTAATATGTGTCGTTCGAATCAGTTCACGTCTTAGATTTGGATTTTTAAAATCAGATTAATTTACAGATGTTTTTTTCTGTTAAAATGTTTAAAAATGTATGTAGGAGAAACAGGCAAGCTATGGTGCTACTAATGTAAGGTCTAGAGCACAGGAGCTCGCCAGCCCATTGGGCCGCAAACACTACAAATCCCATAGTGCTTTGCTGTGTTAGCGCATCATTTGTGTTTCCAGGTCTGAGCCAGTATCAGCCACAAAGCCGTACAGAATTGCAGTATTGGTCTGCAGCCTTACCCTCCTTGGTCTTGGACAAACTGGAAACGTTCCCCTTACTCAGCGCCAAGTTTACTCAGCTATTTGCTGACTTTGAATCTCGGAAACTGAGATTTAAACCTCTCAGTAATCTGTTCACAGCTGACAGAAAAAGTTCTCCAACCAACCTCCAGACATAGCTAATATAACTCCAGTGACACACTCAAGTCAGCATGACTCTGGCTGCAGCAGCTTTTATCTCTCCTCCCTGACACACTGACCCAACAGTGTGGTCCAGGTGCTCTCCATGTTCAGAAGCACAACCCTGTGTGAGCAACTGTTGTCTGTGATTAAGATGAACAGAACAACACAGGAGTCTCACGGATGAACTCCTGATCAGCTCTGAGTCCAACCCCACAGATGCAGGTGTGGGTGGAACAGGTGAGCATCACAGGAAATCAGAGTGGAGCAAACTGAGCTTGAAATATTTTTGCTTTTATGCACTTTTTCTGCTCCAATGAAAGTTATTAGGTGAGATATTGCATTTTTTGTTTTGAGAAAATATTTGATTGATTTTTGTTGTTGGCCTGTGAAAAAAGATTTGACCTACAGTAACAGGAACTGGAAATGCTACAGAACGAAGGCCTGACCAGCCAGCCCCATGCTGGGGAGCAATGGGTCTGGGAACTCTCCCATCCATCCATCCATCCATCCATCCATCCATCCATCCATCCATCCATCCATCCATCCATCCATCCATCCATCCATCCATTTTCATTAGCTTATCCGGAGTACGGTTGCTTATCCGGAGTACAGGTCGCGGGGGCAGTAGCCTAAGGCGAGAGGCCCAGACTTCCCTCTCCCCAGCCACTTGGGCCAGCTCCTCCGGGGGAATCCCAAGGCGTTCCCTGGCCAGCTGAGAGACATAGTCCCTCCACCGTGTCCTGGGTCTACCTTTAGGTCTCCTCCTGGTTGGACATGCCCAG